CTAAAAAATAAATAAATAAATAAACATAAAACATATATATATATATATATATATATATATATATATATATATATAATATATATATATATATATATATATATATATATATATATATATATTTATATATAAATTTAACAGCATATGTATATATATAAACACAGTTAAAATTTCTCGATAAGTATAATTAAAAATAGTACAAAAAAGTATTTCATTAACTTGCTCTCATGTTTGGGACAGAGGGAGGGGCTAAGATTTTAGGGTTTCTTGTTCCCATTCTCCTTTCACAGTAATTTTTATTCTTTTAAGAATCTTTTTGTCATACATATGAATGTAAAAAAATTTGGAATAGTCTTGTTGTTTATAAGTTGGTTATTTCAAACATTTAAAAACCTTCCCATGCCACAGTAAATATATATATATATTTATATATATACATATATATATATATATATATACATTATATATATATATATATATATATATATATATATATATATATATATATATATATATATATATATATATATATATATATATATATATATATATATATCTTTATAGTTGACATCGTGTATAAAATTGTATGCTAAATTAGTAAGAAAACATTAATTAATTCAAATTCTCTTAACACAATTAATGATTCATTATTAGAAATTTTTGTTGGATTATGGTTACCAGCATCATCAGCTCGTAAAAAAAATTTTATTTTTTTTGTAACATTAGAAACAGTTTTAAATAAACTGACGTCAGCAGTTTAATCACTTTTTTCTTGCTTAAAAAGAATTTTAAAAACGGAGTCCAAAACTTAGTTTTCACAAACTGCCTGTTATCTAAATTAAATCCACCAGGTAGAGGTGAACATTGGAACCTCTTTATTTCAAGAGCTTTGCACACTTTTCGATCAAATTTTTTTGTTTTAACTTTAATTGTTTTTAACTTTTCTCACTTTATTTCTGGTGAGCAAAACTTATTATTGGTGGTTATTGCAGACTGATGTTTCCCCTCGTTTAAACTTTATAGATGTTGCTGAGTTTGAGTCCTAATTTGAAGTTTAGTTTCGCCTACGTACCTCTTTGAGTGTTTGCATTCAATCAAACAAGTTCTGGGTTGACTATTACATGGCAATTTAGTTTTATTTTTTGGATATTAGTAATGGTTTCCTTTCTTTAAACGTTAAGCTGGTATTTTTCTTTGTTATGGTTAAATTTATTATGGTTAAATCAAGGAAGTTTAGAGTTTTTTTCACTTTCAGTTTTAATCATATATTTTATCACAGGGTTTGTTTAAGATATTAGGAATTATTCTGCTTCTTGAGTGTTGGAAAATCTAGTGTGACTATCATTGACATATCTTAGATAGAATTTTAGGTCAAGAGGAGGATTTACTTTGATGCAATTTTGAAAGCGTTTTGTTCATGATGTTGTAAAAATGATTCTGCAAGTGCAACTATGAATGAAAGCCTATAGGACCAGATTTCTTAAGCTCATGTATTTCGTTGTTCCACAGGAAAGAAACAATGATGTAAACAAAGCTCTATAAGTTGTCTTGTTTCAGATAAAGTGACCTTGGTAGAATATTTGTAGGAATCATCTTTATTCAATTGGTCTATAGGAATCAAAGTGGCTTCCTTTAGTGGTATTGATGGATAAATGTTTAATACATCAAATGAAACTTAAATCTCGTTTTTGTGAATTTCCCATGTATTTGCTTTAATAAAATCAATAGTATTTTTCAGACTAGTTTGGTTTTTATTTAAGGAAGGTTGTAATTTCTTTACTAAGTAGTTCAACTATCGGCACTTCTATTTATATTCCATAATTAGGAGTGCCGATAGTTGATATAACTATTCTTATAGAACAGGATTTTTTAGATTTGTGAGCTTTAGTTAGACCATAAATACGAGGCGGGATGGGATCACTTGGATATATATACTATCATTTTTTGTTTTTAAAAATTGCTATTTTTCATTATGTTGTGAGAGACAAGTCTTAATTTTAATAGCATAACTAGATGTGGAATCTTCTTTTAAAATTGTCATTGTGCCAATTTGTTTGCGAATTTTTACAAACCATTACCTTTATCAAACGGATATATATCGATAATTTTGTTTTCCTTAATTTCCATAAGAGCTTTTCTTCGTTCTCTTCTTGCATTTTCAATCTTGTTGCTGTATTTTAATATTAAATGATGTTAATGATGCTGGTAACCATAATCCAGCAAAAACTTTTAACAATAAATTAATAATTCTACTAAGAAAATTCGTACTAATTGTAAAAGTACTTAGTACACTCAACGAATTATCAGTCACAGCTCAAATGTATTACTATTACTATTACTTAAGGAGAACACTAAAGTTGTGATAAAGAAACATATTATGTAATCAAGAAATATAACATGTAATTAAGAAACAATGTATAATTAAGAAAAGTAATATTTATTTTTATAAAGTTCCATTTGGAGAAAATTCAGAGTTCTGTGCGCAACGCCAAAAGCAAATGTCTCTTGATCATGATACAACTGAAAATCTTCCAGACTTTATATTTCTATTAAAAGAAATGGACAAACTCTTAGAAATGAATAGGATTTTTCTGGAGATACTGAACATCTATCAATTGCAGTAAGCCTTACAGGCCTTCTCAGAAGACATGTGTAGCTGCACCCCTTGAAAGACCACGCATATATTGTTTTTTGTTGATAACTTAACAACAATCTTTTTGCATATAATAAAAATGATGCATTTTAAAAACGTGCTGAAAAAACAAAGCTAATATGTCTTATTATTTTATTTTTCTTAATAATAATAATTTATTATTATAATTAATAATAAGAAAACAAAAACAAAAAAATAATATATATAGAATTTTAACATTTCTTTGTTCTTATTACAATTCATTCTGGTGTAATGCCATTGTACATAAATTATAGAAAAAAAATAAACTCGATAAACGTTTAACAATACAATCGAAATCAGTTGTGAATAAAGTGGGAGGGGGTTATAGCCCCACGGCGCATAATATTTTGGTCCCCAAAGTATTTAAAAAGGTATTTCTTTTTGTAGTCAGCTTTACACTGTGGCACATAATAAATATTACATTTAATTAAATATATTTAAATTTTATTAAATATAATAAAAACATTTACTAAATATTATGATTTTATATTTAAAGTTTTAAATAACGATGCTTAGATAAAGTACATTTTTATTTTAAAGTTGTGTAACGTAAATAAAAACTACATTTACTAAAGTTCTGGCGCGTTTCGTTATGTCTTTGATTACAAAATGAATTACATCATTTAGGAATTATTATTTCATCGCGTTGGTTTGATAAGGTTCTAACTGAAACTTTTTGTATTAGGAGAATTTGAAAAAAATATTTAAATTTTTTTCAATATTAATTAAATTATTTATATCATTGTTTTTTTTATTTGTTTATGTATTCTTATATTGACATATAAATGTAGATAAATAAATAAAAATAAGAACTATACAAATATTTTCATTTAAACATACTTTGCAGCGTTTTAAAAATTTAACCTAATGAAAATAAGGCAATACACATAAACGTAATAGGTGTAAGTGAAAACTTTGACAAACCAATTTAAATACTAATATTAAATACTATTAAAGATGTAATACTATAATAACTTTTTAAAGTTGCTTTTGATTTTGCGAAAAAACTGTGTTCGATTTGATAACTTTCATAAATGCTATGAACAATCACTCAGCCAATTTTCATTGTTAATTATTTTAAAGGAATGAGTTCAATACTTTTGCAATTCTTTTGTTAAGTAAATCTAACTCTTTATAATAGGTATAAAAAATCCATGATAATAATTGCTTGGTAACGTAAGTGATGAAACGTAAGTTAACGTAATACAGTATCAAAAAAACATTTTTCATTAGCTAGTCACCTCTGATAAATTTTTTTATATTTTTTAAACTAGTATGGAAATTTCAACATCTTGTAAAAGCTTCTGATACAAACCGCTTTCTGATTCACAGAAATCAGATCTAAAAATTGAAGCAACTTTTTTACCTTGTTTTCCATGTAATGTAACTTATGTGACATCTTTAGCAATAAGTTTGCTTTTGGCCAGACTCAAAACTTTTCAGCTTACTTTTTTTATTAGACTAACAACTCTCATACAAAATAGCTAAAAGTTTCATTTAAAGTTTAAATAGGCAAATATTTGATATAATTGTTGCATGTGTAAAGTAAATAGAAAATGGAATTGTTCATATATATGTATTATTTTTACGTTTTTAATTTCTCATTAATAGTTATATAATAAACTATTATTAAGAAAAATAAAATAATATGACAAATTAGCTTAGTTTTTCAGCACATTTTTAAAATGCGCCATTTTTAATACATGCAAAAAAATCCTGGTCAAGTTAGGAACAACAAAAAAAAAAAAATTGTGGCCATTCAAGGCGTGCAACTGCAGATGTCTCCTGAGAAGGCCTGGCTTATATTATCATTATATAACATAAAGAACATAAAATTATACATATTTTTTTTCAAATTGAAAACTCAAATCTGCATATCTTTTCTATTTAGAATAAAGTTAAAGAGACAAGTTACGCGAAAAAAGATAAGTTACGCGAGAATGATTTTTATTAATGAAACTAAAGAAGATAGCTTTTTTGAGCAGCAACAATGATATCTTTGTAGGAAAAACAAGAAAAGCAAAAGCATGGATGAGAGGCTCAATCTAGGCAGAAAAAGTATATTTACAAATATATTTATCAAACTATATTTACAAGGTTTGGAGCTTGAATAATAGAGAAAGAGCATCATTAAAAGAACCAGCCTAATGAAATGACCCTGTATGAAAATAGTATTTCATACAGGGTCAAATAAGAGATTTGTAGAGGTAAAGAATGGTATTAGGAGTAAGATATTAACAAACATGATAAAAAGAATTATTGTATAAAATGATTATCATGTGTAGTGAATGATAATCTCAAAGGAGATATAGAACTGCTCTCAAAAAAG